TCCACCTATCCTAATCATGTTTGTCTTCTTCAAAATTTTGTTTATGGTCTTAAACAAGCACCACGTGCCTAGTTCCAACGCTTTTCTATGTATGCTCAAACCATCGGTTTTATCCCTTCCCGTTTTGACACTTCTCTCTTCACCTTTGATCACAACACCAACACTGCTTATCTTCTATTAAATGTTGATGATATTATCTTCACACCTTCCTCACAACATTTTTTAGATCATATTATCTCTCTTCTTCGCCACAAATTTTCTATGACAGATTTAGGTCTTCTTCACCACTTCTTACGTATTGCTATTATCTGTGACTCCTCTGGTCTTTTCTTATCTCAACGACATTACACTCTGGATCTTCTTTCTCGTGCTGGTATGCTTGATTGTCAAACTTCTCATACCCCTGTTGATATAGGTTCCAAACTCTCTGCCAACGGTGATCCTTTCTCTGATCCTTCTCTTTATCGTAGTCTTACCGGTGAACTTCAGTATCTCACTCTCACTCGTCCTGAAATTTCTTTTGCTGTTCAACAAGCTTGTTTATACATGCATGATCCTCGTATTCCACACTACAATCATGTCAAACGTATTCTTCGATATCTCAAAGGCACACTAGACTTAGGTCTTCATATCAACAAATCCTCTCCCACCTCCTTGACAGCTTACTCTGATGCAGACTGGGCTGGTTGTCCAGATACTCGTAGGTCCACATCTGGATTTTGTGTTTTTCTTGGTAACAATTTGGTTTCTTGGTCTTCAATAAGGCAGTTTACGATCTCCCGCTCGTCTACTGAAGCCGAGTACCGCGCTGTGGCTCATGCGGTTGCTAATGCGGGTTGGTTGCGCCAGTTGCTGTCGGAGCTGCACCGTCCTATTGAGCAAGCTACCATTGTTTATTGTGATAATATTTCAGCTGTCTACATGTCAGGGAATCCGGTTCAACACCGTCGCACCAAGCATATTGAGATCGACATTCATTTTGTTCGAGAGAAGGTGGCTCTCGGTCAAGTTCACGTTCTCCATGTGCCTACTTCTGCTCAGTTCACTGATATATTTACTAAAGGCCTGGCGAGTACTCCGTTTCAAGACATTCGTTTCAGTCTCAACGTCGTCGAGCCTACCGTTGACACTGCGGGGGATGTTAGAATACAACCTGTAATAGGATTAGGACTCCTACTCGGTTTGTAATAGGGTTAGGTCACGTGCGGCTTGACTCTTATATATACCTCTTGTAATGGAGAGGGCACCATCTGAACCCATGGGCATATGCACCCACTTTTCATAAAATGCATTTTAAGCACATTTTAAAATGTCAAAAAATCAAAAAAATATCACGCATACATGTTCGCAAATGTGTATACGCGGCACAAAGTTTTATGAAAAAATATCTTTTTGTTTTGTCTCTGCAAAAAAGACAAATTTCAGTGCTTCTAAATAGTGTTTCACGACATAAATTTTTGTCTTTTTGCACAGGCCACAAAAAAATTATTTTTCCGTGAAACTTTATGCACGCACATAGAACATGGAGACGTACCAGTGCAATTTTTTTCCAGATTTTTTTAGAATTTAGAAATGTGTTTTTTAAAGTGGGTTCATATGTACCCGGGTTTATATATCCATGCATTTCTCTCTTGTACTGGCACAATATTGCGTGAACAATTATTCAATACAATTCTACGATTTCAGCATCGACATTAACGTGGTATAACTCGAGGAAGGCAGATTCTTGAAAGAGAATATTGTTATAGTGATAGGATAGAAGTTACCATCAGTGATTTGCAGGACGTAAGGTCGATATGAGGTGTTTGTAGAGAAAAAAAAATACACCTTGGTGTTGAAGGAGACATAGTGGACTAGTAAAAGAAGACGGCAAGAAGAAAACAAAACGCCCCATTATGTTATATTCGATGTTGTTCTTAGGCTAGTGATGCTCGACTCTTACGGCCTGCGTGTCGCGAGACAAACCCATTTTGGTTGACACATGACCCATTCCAAAGAATGATATTGATGTGACAGAAACAAGAGAAACCAAAACACCACTAGCTCTCGAACGTTACCATGCGTAAGGTGAGTAGGGAAGATGCTTAAATAAACCAATATTTCTTAAAGCATCGATGTTTATTTGTATAAGATAGACGTTTAATTAGGTGTCTTGTTAGAAATACACTGATGCTTAAAAACGCTTAAAAAATTGATTTATTTTTTTAAGCACCTCTCTAAACACCTAGCATTGTACGGCACCTAAGAAGGCTATCAGAACATATATGGAGTCGAAACAATCATGCGTCCACACATGTCACCTCTAAAATCGAGGGACCTAAGAAGGCTATCAGAACATATATGGAGTCAAAACAACCATGCGTCCACACATGTCACCTCTAACATCGAGCAGCCGTCGCCAACAACACATGCTACTAACAAGAAAATCTTATGTACATGCCATGCATAAGAAAGATGCAAGGATACTGGGGTTTCGGATCGCTCGGGACAAGATGAGTAGATTTTTTCCATGTTGTTGTGTTTTTTAATAAAACTTCAACTTTATTAATTAGAAACAACTGTTACATCGTCAATAAAGAAGGTACAATCTTATTCATAGGCTCCTCAAATCAATCACTAGTGACAATTTTTTTTGCTAGCCTAGCAATTTCATGAGCCACCTTATTTACTTCCCTATTACAATGTTCAAATCTAATAAAAAAATCACAAGCCAAAAAATAACAATCATAGACAACTATAGCCGCCGCTCCAGCCGAGTGTCCTCAATTCTTCATTGTGTCAACCACTTCTATATTGTACGAGTTAACAACAAGACGATTGCAACCCGCCTTCTGTGCAAGGAATAACCCAAATTTTAGCACCGCAACTTCAGCTGCTAATACATCAGCTCGACAATCAATCTCCAGTTTCCAGCGACAATGAACCTGCCTTTGTCATGTCTAAGAATCGCCCACGCTGTACCCTGAAGCAGATCATGATGAAAAGAAGCATCAACATTCAGCTTAACAAAAACCCTAGGAGGGATGCCCCATCCCCTGTTTTACTAGTTGCCTTAGGGGAGTAGGCATTAACATAGTTTGCCATTATGGCACGAGCTCCCATCGAAATTTGGTTTGCATCTTGAAACTTTCCTTTTCGAACAAGTTTCTATTTATCGCAAGGTTTTGGTTACCGGTCAAATTTTCAAGATTTCCCATGGTTACCGCGTATTTCCGTGCCCCTGGGTAAATCCTCATACCGAGCAAAAATTATCAATTTTTTTGAATTTAAACACTTGATTTATAGTAAAGTATGTAGGATCTACTTAATGCCATGAGAGTTGGTTCTGGCTGTCTGTAGCAACCTAGTTCCTGTTTTGAGAGGTCTCTGATTCAAATGTTCGATCATTCACGTATTTGAATTAATTCAACTATAAAATTCGTTCGAAATATTCTCGGTATTTCTCAGTAACCGTGGTAACCACGTTTACCAATCCCTAGGGTAAAAATGCCTCATTCGGTAACCAACACATCGGTTTATCACACCATAAATACCAAGCTTTTATAGCGATTAATTCACGCGCGTTCTGAATGCCCCCTATAGATATTTCCTGATCTTGCATATAGATATTTCTGTTGTTGTTGTCATCAAGGGGAGTGAGAGGGGTTGAAGTTTTTGTTTTCTTTGAGGGGGAAGTCAGAGTTGGGGGCTGGAAGTGAGTGATTAGGCCCAACATAAGCGCTGCGTCATGGGCACCAAATTGGAACAGGGCTATAGTTTTCTGAGCGAAAATTCTAGACTCACGGACTCTTACGGGCTAATTCTCTTGCACGCGTTATTCAGATGGAGAAGAAGCAGTTGGCGTGGACATTTCGTTTCTTATCGATGTCCGAGAGAAAAGCTACTAGCAAGTTCGTCCACGTGGTGAATTATAGATTTAAGTTTGTTACAACATCCAATCATCCATATAATCTCCGTGTTTCTTCTGTTTTCTACCAGTCATATTTCATATGTGCATAAGAGTTAAAATGCTTCCAGCGGGCACGTTGGAGCGCGCATACCAAGTTCCCACATTTGCAAATATGATCCTGGGCTCCTAGCCATTAATATGTTTAATTCCACATTTTCTTCATCTAATTTCTAAATGATAATGTGCAACATCTATCTCCTGGTGAACCTTTTTTTCTTGCGACTGTATCTCCTGGTGAACCTATTTTACGATAAGATTTTTAGGGCATTTTTTTGATGATTTTTTCCTGTAGCCCTTAAATAAAATCAAATATAATCAAGTGCAATTCACATTAAGTTTTCTACTCCTAGTTAGTTGTAAAGAACAAGTTCAATTCAGTCTGATTTAGTTCTTGATATGACCATGCTGCCAGCAACTCCTTTTCTCTAGCTAGCACAATAATTTTACTTGTTTGATGTAAAGGACATAAATACAAGGAAATAAACTGGAAGCTTATTTCAAATTAACTAGCTAGTGGTGTTTGTGTAGTTCAAGAAAAAGCTGGTCTTTTTCTCGACAAATAAGTTGACATGCAAAGAATCAGTGAATGTATTTGCAAGAAAGCAAACATAATTATCGATAAAATTGGTTGTGATTGTCACTGTAGATAATGCCAGTAGCTAGTTGGAACTAGATACAAACCAATAAAAAACAAGATCTCAAATCTCCAACCAATAAAGAGTTCAACCCAAATTTTACAATAACACTATTATATTTAAATAGTGATTATTGCAATACATGGATAATTAATTAATGCACTAGGTTGCGCTTGTGACCAGGCAAGACAAACTTATGAACTTGCAAGGATGGCAATCAGATCGACATCCGCACAATGCTGATATGAACATTGTCTTGATACAACTTTATTTGTATTTTATTTCAGAATTTAAACAACTAGTTTGGGCGGGTCACACATGGTGTTGTGTGACACTTTATTTGTCACCGCTACATCGACATATCCATCGACTAAACAACAGTGATCCAACTATATATTACTAGAGATCTTTTCTTATCAGTAGGCACCAACTCCAGTGCCAACGCCGAATGGCGCACTAGTGGTGGTTCCGTACAACGGCACGTTGACATTGCACATCGTTGGCAAGGTACGGAGTGCAATGGAAGTCATCACCTCAAACTGAGCTATCTGGTGTGGCTGCAAAAAGGTACCCTGTGCCAATTGTTGTTGTTGAGGTTGTTGCCCGAGTTGCTGCTGCGATTGTTGTTGGGGTTGGAAGACACATTGGCCCAATTGTTGGGGTTGTTGTTGCTGAGCTTGGATGATACTCTGAACTTGTTGTTGTTGTTGTTGTTGTTGTTGTTGTTGTTGTTGTTGCAGGATGATAGAGTAGATGATAGCACGGATTGACTCATGGCGGGATTGCCCGGGGATTTGCCGCAACTGTTGGCAACATTGTTGCTGCATCACATGGCAAATCCTTTGCTACAACATTTGCGACCTAGCAAGACATCGCTGCATTGCCACAGGGATGCACTGCTGCTGGAGGAATACCTTGCATGGGTTTAGTTGCTGCAAAACAGATGGATGAATAACTGGTATTTGTTGTTGCTGTGAAAATGGTGGTTGTTGTTGCTGCGAAAATGGTGGTTGTTGCTGCTGTGAAATTGGTGGCTGTTGTGAAAACGGTGGTTGGTGTTGCTGCAAAAATGGTGGTTGTTGTTGTTGTTGCTGCTAAAATGGTGATTGTTGTTGTTGCGAAAATGGTGGTTGCTGTTGCTGTGAATATGGTGGCTCTTGTTGCTGCAAAAATGGTGGTTGTTGTTGCCGCGGAAATGGTTGTTGTTGTTGTTGCTGTGAAATTTGCGCAACGGCACTTGCTGCCGCAAGAGCGAGGAGGGCAAAGACAAGGAATGTCTTCATTGTGGATTGGTGTCAACTAGTGTTGCTTGGTTTTGATGCTTGTGCTTGTGATGATCTTTATACTTCATGCCTATTTATAGTAGCCCGGGCACCACCTCTTTTCTTCTTTGCATCAGCTTTAATAATTTTGTTTGGCTGCATCTGAAATGAATTTTTTTGGTACATTGTGTTTGGTTGCGCTAGCTACAAGCGTACTTTTGGATTAATCATCAAAGTTGCTTTTTAGTTGTGCATATGATCACACACAAAGTACAGAAACCCCGATGTTTGTTATATATGACTCATCTTATTTACTTTACATGTCACACATTTATCAAGATAGCATCACTTTTGCAACCGAGTTTGGAACCTTGTATAGGCTATCAACCATGAACTAAAAAGGCAAAACTTTTGTAGGACTAAGTTGCAATCGTGTGTGGGCTGTTAAGATATGCTCGATTATTAAAGCCTTGCGTGTGGAGGGTTCTTCTAGAGTCGGTTGCTTTTTATACAACTAATTTTGTATTTTCCACTAAGATGATAAGATGAACCGACGCCTATAGAGCATGACATGACTCATCAAATTTCCTTTACATGTAAAGGATGATAATTGCTTACAAGATACTCCTACTAGCATATATCCGGTCCTAAGTCTAGACATGTCATCATTAGTTCCGTGTTTTTGTTTAGATAAATCATCAGTTCCATCTACTTGTGAAAGCTTTTTTTTGGGGGGGGGGTGATAGTCTTTTTTGGCGCTAGGGGAAAAATCTTTTTTGATCTAGGGGGAAATGATAGATGGGACTGGAACAGAGGCCCCCAGCCTAGAGCGAGAGATTAGGCCCAACATAAGCATTGTGTGTTAGGGCACCAATTCGAATTGGGCTATAGTTTTCGTAGCCCCAACGTCACAAGCCCAACTCACACTCCGAAGATCTGCGTCGTCTAAAAAAAATCTCCTTGCTCATCCTCCTCGCCGGTCAGACCGCTCGTCGGCGCAGCCTCTCCCGGATCCCACCGCTTGCGGCCGGTCACATACGTCTGAGGCGGCGGAGGCGGCAGCCTCCCTCCTGCCCTCCGCACCCACTACCACCACCATTGGTCGACAAAAAGGTCACTTTTGAAGCTCCTTCGTCGATTGCGGGCCGTACGTTGACGGCAGCCACTCCGGCCTCCCCGCTAAAGCAAGGTATCGATCCTGGCCGTCTGTCTCTTCCAGCGATTCAATTCACATGAATTCGAGATGCGTACCCATCTCCATGCCAGCCACATGAATCAGGAGGGTCATGAAGCAGGATTCATCTGCGTAGCCTGATAGTGACATACATTTGTGGCTTTGGTAGCTGAGCAACTTTGTGCTTTCTATGGATGTCACTTCAAAAGTTCAAATAATCATCAAATTTCCGCCTTTGAGTGCTGCAGGTGGAGTGGAGGACATTCAGTTTCCCTCTGATGTCCGAGAAGTCCGTCTTCGGTGCAGCGATTGTGGGTTTCAAAACCGGGGGATCTCGGGTAGGGGGTCACGAACTGTGCGTCTAAGGCGGATGGTAACAGAAGGCAGGGGACACAATGTTTACCCAGGTTCGGGCCCTCTCGATGGAGGTAATACCCTACTTCCTGCTTGATTGATCTTGATGATATGAGTATTACAAGAGTTGATCTACCACGAGATCGTAGTGGCCAAACCCTAGAAGCTAGCTTATGATTATGATTGTTGTTGTCCTACGGACTAAACCCTCCGGTTTATACAGACACCGGAGGGGGCTAGGGTTACACAGAGTCGGTTACAAGGGAGGAGATCTACATATCTGAATTGCCAAGCTTGCCTTCCACGCAAAGGAGAGTCCCACCCGGACACGAGACGAAGTCTTCAATCTTGTATCTTCATAGTCCGGCCGAAGGATATAGTCCGGCTGTCCGAGGACCCCCTAATTCATGACTCCCTCAGTAGCTCCTGAACCAGGCTTCAATGATGATGAGTCCGGCACGCAGATTGTCTTCGGCATTGCAAGGCGGGTTCTTCCTCTGAATACTCCATAGAAGATTTCGAACATAAGGACAGTGTCCGGCTCTGCAAAACAAATTCCACATACCACCGTAGAGAGTATAATATTTTCACAAACTTAATCTGCCAACAACTTTTCATAACGTGACATCACGCCATGGCCCGGTCATTATTTGAACCGTTTTTCTCAACCAGCTACTACACATATTGCGAGGCGGTTCTCTTGGCACGTCTTGTCGAAGCAGAGATCGTGTCCCCTTATCACGAGATTCTAATCAATATGGGCGTGAGTAACCCAACCGCGCCATCAATCATGGCGCTTGGGGAATAAGCGAGTTTACCTGGCAAGTGGGGAGGCATAGAATCCCTGCTGCCTTTATAAGGGGATAAGGACTCCCTTTCGCACCCACGCATTCTTCTTCCCGATCCATTCCCCTTTGCCCGAGCTCCAGCGACCGAGCGTTCATCTTCTCCGCCCATAAAGGCCTTCCGAAAATGTCCGGATCATGAGCAGGAGGCAAGTGGATGGCCTCTACTGTCCAGGAGAAGCATATCAAAAAACTTTGGGAGGCCGGGTATCTGGCCAAAAAAATCGACCATCGTCTCCCGACGGCGGGACAGATCATTTCTACTCCGGAACCCCAAGAGAGGGTTGTATTCCTCCCTCATTTTGTCTGTGGGCTAGGGTTTCCCCTCCACCCATTCGTTCGCGGCATCATGTATTATTACGAGATCGATTTTCATGATGTATCCCCCAATTCCTTCCTCAACTTCTCGACATTCCTCATCGTGTGCGAGGCTTTTCTCCGCATCTTGCCACACTTCGGCTTATGGCTGAAGATCTTTAATGTGAAGCCCAAGGTGGTGAGCGGCGAGCACGCCGAGTGTGGGGGCGCCATGGTGAGCAAGATGCCCAATGTCACCTGGCCAACATGTACTTTAATGATTCCATCAAAGAGTGGCAACAACAGTGGTTTTACATTACTAAGCCACGCAGCACGGAATGGTCCAAGAAGGGCCTGAACTGGTCTTCGTCCGACGAACTGTCTATGCTCCAGACGCGCATTAAAGATATGGAAGACAAGAACATCAAACTTGTCATTGTAGTCCAGGTGATGTTAGTTCGCGGGATCCTGCCTTGTCAGCACCAGACTTGCAATATGTGGGAATTCGATCCGGCCAAGCACCAGACCCTATGAAAGCTCTTTGGATCCTCGCACGAAGACATCTGGAAGGTGCTTTTCAAGTCTGGAAAATCATGGCCGGACTCGGCCGAGGACCGTGGGTATCAACTGTCCCGCCCTGCAAGCTCGGTAAGTTTTATGCGTTTTACCCACATAACCAAAGGGAAATGACTAATGTGTTTTCCTCAACTCCCCTAGGGCTGGACGAAGAAGGCGGGGCGGATCCACTGTCCGGCCCCGTTGCCCGAAGAACCGGCCGGCCCACTTCTGACGAAGATGCTGGCCCCGGCGCCGTACAAGGCACCAAAGAAGAAGACTAAGGAGGCCAAAAAGACCCGAGGCGGCCTTCGTCGCCGCGGCACTTCAGCCACAATATCAGAAGGCTCCAAACCCCGTTCTGCCTTCGAAGAGGACGAGGAGGAGGAAGACGAATCCCCAGTGGGGGGAAGAAAGAAGAGGGCGGCATCCATACACTTGGAGGCCGAGTCGCCTAAAAGGGGAAAAGATCCTCTTCCTGAAGAGTCCACTGCCGCCGCCGACAGCAGCCCGGCGTGGGATCCCAGGGCCCAGCCCCTGGTGAACTCGTGAGTATAAAATCCGAACACGTTTATGCGTCCAGACTCATCATGGCATAATATTTTAACCTGAGCTATATTTTTTTTAGTCCGGCGAGGTCCCGCACCAAATGATCCTCATCAGAGGATTCGCTAAGCTTGGATGCTATAGAGAGCGGGACGCCCCCAAAGGCCCCTTCCCCCAAATGTGTGCATAACACCGAGGCTTCGTCCCAGAAGGACCCCAGCCAAGGAAGGGGGGAAAAGATCGTGAAAGCGGCGCCTGGAGTTCAAACTTCGGGGGCCGGAGACATGGGGGAGAAGATTCCCATGGGAGTTGACGGCGGGAGCCATCTTGAATTCGGCTCCCAGCCGGGCGCAATTCCGGAGACCAATACGGCTCCAGAATCAAGCAGGCGGCCTCCCTCGGTTGGAGGGGGCGTGCCTGTTCCACCGGCAATCTCTGTCCAGCCAGAGGTGCCGGATGTTTTGTTGGCGGCGCTGAAGAGCGCCTCCATCGTCAATGAACACCGTGCCCTGATGGGTGTGGTGATTAAGGAGATTCAGTCTGCTGAGAGTGAACTGAATGAAGCCTGTATCAGCCTTATAAGAGGCCTTGAGGTATGTTTTATGAGGTTTCGAAGAGTGTTATAGTATGGATAGTAGCCCCTGATACACTGTTCGGTGCAAGAAAGGACCGAACAAAGGATCAATTTTATGTTCGCAGGAAGACTCACTTGATGACATCTATCTCTGTTCTTTTATAAGCAGGTGTCTGCAGTGGCTGCTGCCTTTCATGCTGCGAAGGTCTCCGGACTGAATCAAAGTCTGGAGCGGGCCGAAGAAGAACTTGGCCAGTTGAAAAGGCAGTTGGAA